ATCTCAACCAAACCTCAACCGAGCCAATCCCAACCAAGCTAAAATACAACCTTGCATCTCATCTGTTCGTGAACTCTCTGGCCGAAGGAAGCGCCTCGTCCATCAGTGAAGAAGTAGATGAGACAGTCACCCCTCGTCAGGTATTTCGGGGTTGTACATACCCAGTTGCCTCTGAGGTTGTGGCGCGTTTTATGTCCGGGTGGGAACTGGGTCTGGGGATTGGGAAAGAGGGGTTATTGTTGAGGTTTTGTTGGTGGTCTGTGTGTTTGATTTGTTTTGGTTGTTGTTGGCCCATCTCTCTGTCTCTGTCTCTCTCTGTATCTTTCTCTGTCTGTCTGTCTGTCTGTCTCTCTCTCTCTCTCTCTCTCTCTCTCTCTCTCTCTCTCTCTCTCTCTCTCTCTCTCTCTCTATATATATATATATATATATATATATATATATATATATATATATATATATATATATATATATCTCCTCCCTATCCCCTCATTCTTCCTCACTCCCTTCCCCCTCTCTCTAACTCCCCTCTCTCCCTCTTTCCCCCCTCTTTCTCTCTCTCTCTCCCTCTCTCTTTTACAAGAACTTACAAGGCTTTCGCATGCGGACGAAGTGTTGGAAAGGAACTTGAAGAAGGCGCCAGGAGTCCGTAGAGCTTTGTGACTGCACAGTACTGATTCGTCTGGAATAGAAAGGATTTATGTTTGTTTGTCTGTCTGTATCTGTGTATTTATTTATCTATGTTTGTTTGTCTATCTTTCTGTCTATTTATCAATCTATCGATAATGAAATATATATATATATATATATATATATATATATATATATATATATGTATATATATATATATATATATATATATATATATATATATATATATATATATATATATATATATATATGTATGTATGTATGTATGTACACACACACACACACACACACACACACACACACACACACACACACACACACACACACACACACACACACACACACACACACACACACACACACACACACATACACACACACACACACACACACACACACACACACACACACACACACACACACACACACACACACACACACACACACACACACATAGAAAGATATATGTGTATAGATAAGTAGATAGACAGATAGACAGATAGGTAGTTAAATAGATGGATAAATAGATCGTTCAAACTCTCTCTCTCTCTCCTTACCCTCATTTGTATCCTTGTCAATCTTTTCTGGAAGATTGCTGACTTTTCCGGCCACTTTTTCGACACTTTTAGGATAGATGTCACCGACGTCGACTTTTCTGGCGTGGACGTCGACTCCAGGCGAGGCGTCATCGACATAGATCGGTAATTCGAGGTCGATTCGAGTGTAAACCGGGAAGATTTTTGGCGTCGGCATACTAATGGTTCAATGAAAAAAGAAAAGAAAAGGGAAAGAAATTTTGTAAAAGCGAGAAGTACCAAAAAGGGATTAAAAAAGATATATGTATATATTGTAATATACGTGGAAAAAATATATACTGCAAAATATATGAAATAAAAATTATCTGATTTTATATGTATATATACACATGCATATAAAAATAAATACGTGTTACGATCTTATATACACCCATATGTGGCGTGTGCGTATTTCTCTCTGTAATATTCAGTACAGTAGACCACGGCCGCCCATCTCTCACCTTATCCACATTGCCAAACAGGCAGCCACCCCCACAGTAGCCACGCCTGCAAACCACTTGGCATACTTTGTCATGCCTCCTTGTCAGACGTCGATAAATTTTCGAGCTATCCCAGGCAAAGAAACAATACTGTGTTCGTTATTGTTGTAATTTCAGATTTTCTTTTGGTTTAATTTTGTATTATAAATGTTTCTCTCGTTAATTTTCTGTTTCTATAGTCTATTTTTTTCTTTGCTGTTTAATCTATATCACTTTTTTTAATTCGTATTTCATAGAATTGCATATGTGAATGCATATATTTATATATTTACATACATACACTATATACACGTACTCGCAAACACACACACACACACACACACACACACACATACACACACACACACACACACACACACACACACACACACACACACACACACACACACACACACACACACACACACACACACACACACACACACACACACACACACACACACACACACACACACTTACCTTAACAGTTTATGTATATGAGTGGAGTTACTACTCTATTATCA